AATTTGATTATTTTCTGGACGTTTTTTTTCTGGTTGCCATAAAAATTTTACTGATTTTTATTTTATCTTTCAAACAGATTTTTTAATTGATTAAACCTGATGTGGCATTTAACAAGATACTAGCATTGAATATTTAAAGCGTATCTTTCCGTTTAATTAGTATCTCTATATTCTCCTCTCACAAAATTTTTAAAATTTTAAAATCAATTTAAATTTTTATAAACAATTTATCACGTTATAGTATCTCAATAATGTTCTCCATTCACTTCTTTCCGGTTTAAAATTTATTTTAATAAAAGGGATTAACCGACCTGCTCAATGTTGGATTAAAAAAATTTTTTTTCATCCTACATAGTTTAGAGCTCGCTTAATTTTTTCTTATTTATATTCATTGATATTCATGTATTTTATCTCATTTAGCACATTAAAATTCATTAGTAGTCATAAAATATAATTTTAAACAAGATTTTTTTACATGCTATTTTTTAAACTTCTTCTATTTTTACATTGGCACTAAGTCTGGAACAAGCCGCATTTTAAAAATAGTAGATGGAGGAAAAAAGCCCAACCGCATTTTAAAAAGCGACAGACGGAAACGGGGAATTTTTTATTTGCGGAAGAGGAAGACATTCCATCTTCGATTGACACCTTTTTAAATGTTAATATCCTTGAATTAAATTTTATTTAGAAATTGTTATTCAAAAAAATCAGTATTTAGAAAACCAAAAAATGTGTTTGAAAGACAACAAAATTTTTATTGTTTCAATTCTTTTCTTAATTATTTGTGAATTCGACTTTGTGTCTAGTGCCGGAGGTAGCAGACGACATCACAGAGTGCAGGTAATTTTCTTGGAGCAAACTAGTGTATCAGAATTTTGCGGGCTTGAAATAAAGATAAACATTTAAGCCGGAATCCTAATACTTGTGAAAAATCGCTTAAAGGATTGATAACATACATATACCCAAACAAACTTATTTTTACAATAATAAATTTGAAGTCAATTTAAAGGCAGATGACGATAACACTACCGCGTTTCAACGTGAATTTATACAACCATTACGGGAACAACTTCATGCGCTTGCTCTTGGACAAGATACAAATGCATTGCGAGTTCTGGTAATATGTTATTAAAAATAATATTCAAGAAATTTTGATATTATTTTAAATTTTTGATATTATTTGATATTATTTTTGATTTCTTGAAATTTTTATATTATCATTTTGATATTATCATCTATCTCTTAATTTTTTATATAATTTTGGATTACAATTTTATGATTAAATCAAGCATTATTATCAAAGAATAACAGACAAATTTTTAGTTAGATCAGGCTCAAAATCTTCAAAATGATCCAGAAATAACTCCAGATGACGTAAATTTATTAATTCAACTTATAAATTTGTTTATAGGCATATTTCATATCTTTACTGAAAAATTATTGTGCAACTAAGATTTTATCTATGGTTTAGTGTAGAATTTTCCAATAGAACTATATGTTTGGAAAAGTTTTCTTTTTAAGTTAAAGTTTTTTTCATACATTTTTTCTATAAACTTAATTAAATTGATGATAAAATCTTTTTTTAGGCAATACAAGTTCAACAAATAGCTAGTCAGTGCGGTGAAGTGATTGTTCGTTTTGATCTGGTTGGTTTATACTAGGATTCTTTTATATTCCTAAATATACAAAATCACGTTTTTATTGAAAATTAAATTTTTTATAAAAAGGTATGAAAAACGAATGATAATTTTAATTTTTGGAGCTTATCCGTTCGCACTAAAACTTATTTTTCAAATTATCTACTTATTAAAAGTGATGACCGAATAGACATAAGAATTAAATTTTTATAAAAAGCCTGCAAACTCCTAATATAAAACACCTTTCAATGGATTCGATTATATTTATAAACATGTAATTACAGTTTGGGCATCTGCGTTTACAATCTCAGAATTTACTCGATTCAATTGCTCAAGCTCGACAGCAAACAATGACACGTCAACAGCGTTTATCTCTGGTTAAATTTATTAAATAATTATTTTCCAATATGGAATTTTACTGCATAATTGTAAAGCTATAGTACAGACAATGTAAAGATATAGTATAATTTATAAAGGTAACAGGACGGAGTTGTATTAATTTCCAACTGGAATCATTTGGTTCACTATTTACAAAGTAACAACTGGAGATTCCTATCTAAAATTTTTTATTTCCTAATTTCAAGTTTACATATTTTCGTGTTACGCATTTATTTTCAACTAGTATTGTATCCTAATAGAATTTTTTTAGAAAAATCAAGCTCAAAGTCTTTACCACCAGCAACAAATATTAAGTCGACAGATTGCATCGAATCCATTATTGCTTAATAATCATGCAATTCAAAACAATGTAAATATTTTAGAATTATAAAATGGTTTCTGTAGTTTCCTAAAAATACTCTAATGAGTTTGTTAAGTGGCACAAAGGCTCAGTCATGAAATACCGATTCATTAACTCGGATGACATACATCTGCACATCATATGCGTAAAATCCTACTAGATGGGGGACAAATGAATATTTCAGATTTTTAAAGTTTTTTTATAGATTTTCAAGATTTTTTAGATTCATTCATAGATTTGCCAAAATATTTTGAGATAAAAAATATTACAAATTGAAAAATATTTCATTTTCATTAATGAATTTAACGTAAAATAATTGAACTTAAATTATTCTAAATTTGTCAAATTTATGAATTGTAGGTTGTTCACATTGGAACTAGAATTTCAAACGAACTGGCACATTTGAATCTGGTTATATTTATATATTATATTTAAATTAAAGTATATATTAACTTTGTAATCTAAAAATATAAGTAGATTAAAACTCAAACTGAATTATTAATTATTCGAACGAAAAGTAATGTCATAAATATAAAAGTCAAACATAAAAGTCAATCTAGGAATCAAATAAAAACACGATTCCCGGTTATTATATAAAAATATTAATCAAATTTACAATTAAATTTAGCTTTCAAAATTAGTAATTACAAAAAATTTTATATAAAAATTTTAATTTAATTTAAAATTATTTTTAAACTTCAGTAGCCAACAAGCATCTGAAATATTGATGATTGAACGTGGAAATAAAATTCTAGATTGACATATCAACGTGATTTGAGTGATTTTTTATTCGGATTCTAGTAGTAAAATTTTTCCCAAATTCCTCCACTCGCGAACAACTTATCGTATTTTTTCAAATACAGCCTCATGTGTCTGTATTTTTCAAATATACTCCAGAATGGGACTGTATTAGCGAATGCGGCTTTAATTATTGTGGGATATGAAGGATTTACTTCATCAAATTAAGTGAAATGAACTTTGATACTTAATTAAAATCTACTATCGTAGAATTTATTGAGGAAGTATTTAGTAGGTTTAAGGGGATATTGAAATTTTGAGAGAATTAAGGGAATTTGGAGGGATATCTGTGGAATTGGATGGATTAAGGGGATTTTCGAATCCCGATTATGAAAAAAAGAAATTTATGATCAAGAGGGTTTGTTGATGAAGAGGCTTTTAAGATGACTCGGTTTAGTATTTAATTTGACTTACAATAGTGGGGCTGTATTAGGGAGTGGAGCTTTAATTGAGAGTGGGTCTTTATTTTTCAACTATCTTCTTGAATGGGGCTTTAATTGGGAATGGGGCTTTATTTGGAAAAACACGGTAATTTAGATGTAGTATGACCAGATGCTCACTAATTCTCTTGTTTATATTGAGTTGATATTTAATCAAAAATATTATTTGGGATCCTTCAAATTATTATAGATCACAGATGATTGAAAATTTTCAGAATTTTTGAAAATAAACAAGAAACTAGAAGAGCCGGTCATTAGAATACTTTATTAGTTATGTGCATATTATTCTTTAAGTAAATGTTAGTTTTCCTAACTATTTTCTTGACAAACATTGTGATTTTTTAAGTTATTTTAGCATAAAACATTTAGCAATTTTTCGGTTGATTTTTAAATTTAAAGTTTTAAATAAGAACATAATAAAAAATTGAGGAAAGATTGTCGATAAAAACATGAATCTAATAGCGAAACATGTAATCGACCCATATCTCGAATAAAAATCTCGTCAGTCAAGATGAATAATTTTTCGAAATATCAATCTCGACTCTGCACAAAAGTTGATAAAACAATTAACTGGTGAGGAGAGAATATAACAATTCTGATGAATAAAATATTTCTTTTCAGTCTCTAAATTAAACTTGAATTTCTGTTATGGGACCAAAGCCTTTTACTATTAAAAATAATTTATATTTTCATTCACATATTTTAAATTTTAAAGTATAAATATTAGTGAATTTATTCATTATAATAATATTACAGCAATTAATGTATAAATTAATAAAATCAAAACAAAATTTTTAAAAGATTTAAATTTAGAAATTCCACCATTACCATTATTATCTATTTTTTGTGTGCTTTTAATTTCCTTATTAATCAGTGTTGTAGATGTTCGTTTGGTTCTAGTTGTCGATTGAGGAAAAGCTATCGAATTAATTATTAATCAAAATAAATTTCTTAAAATTTCTTCACTTATTTATTTGTCAAGAAGGTATTCCAATAAAAAACTCAAAACCCAAAATTAGTTAGAATCTTAGAACTTTTATTTTCTTAATTTATTATTAGAGTTTGACATTCGTAAAATGCCGGATCCGGTTTCCCATTTTTTCTATACGGACCGGATTTTCCAAATCAAAATCAGGAAAATCCGGATTTTTCGACCCGGATCCGGCCTACAGTATCAGAGAATCCGAGTCGGGTCCGGGTACGAACTCTATTTATTATCCTATATCAATTAATTACATTCTTCTTAACAATTAACATATATGCTCGACCCTCTATCATACAATCGCCTCAGATCAGTTACCTAACCTTTTAACGAAAGCATGAAACATTAATTAGTTAGGGTAAATATTAGGGCCTCTATCTAAAATAAATTTTAAATTTGAGACATTATTGACATGAAATCTGGCCTGGTTGCAGTTCTTTTATTTTAACCAAAATTTTAAAAATTTTATTACCCTTTGTTGTCTCACTCTCTTTAATTGTTTTAGCTTTTGTTGTAGTTGAGGTTGTAGTAATTGCAGTTGTAGTTGTTGTGATTGGATATTTTGTTTTTAAAATAGGTTTTTTATTTGGGCTTTGATTAGGCTTTATTTTAAATCCTCGTTGAGCTTTTGTCCCGTGACCTTCACATTCTTTAAAGTCTTTATTACAATCATCCTTATAACAAATACAACATTTTGTACATTCAAATTCGGTTTTCATCATCCGACAAAAATTTGTTTCGGTTATAGTATATGGAATATTTTTACTTTGCTGCCTTTTATGCACATTAATTATAAAGTCGTCGCTGAGACAGTTATAATAAGCTAAAAACAATTTTTGAAATTTTTTGTTAATAAATAGATTTTATAAGAAATACTACAATAACTGCCCATATTTTTGAATATGTATCTTTGAAGGGGATTAATATAGTAAAGCAGCTGGGCTATAGCTATTTCTCTCCTTTAGCTAGTGCAAAAGGTTAATCGGCGGCTGTAAGCGAACCAGCATCTTTAGTAGACCGGACTGATGTGTTAGCAATTAGACCACGCCGCCTAATGCACAGCCTTGGAAATCAAATAGCTATATGCTTTACAATATTATTCATTTGCATTTATTATTAAAGACCAAGTTTATGATTTAATTGGAACAACATTTTGTATTTTTATAAAATATTAACTGTTATTTAGTCCATTATCAAACTCTTTACAATCAAATGCCAACATACAATTGCCAGTATTTGCAGTTACTTTATTACATTCGACTTTTTGAAGTCCTACATTCCAGTCGATTGTTACACCCACCAAATTGTCGTCATATGTTTTTGGATTTGCGTAGCAAATTATTGCTAAATTAATTACCCCCGGTTTTTAGTTTCGGTTTTTTCGCCAAAAGCACCGGTTTTCGGTTTCGTTTCGATTAACCAACCGCCAACAACCCTAGTTTTAACAATCTTAAAATAGTTTCAAGTGACAATAAGTCCCAGTTAACTAGGAAATACAAAATAGCTAGTGAAAACAAATAACTAGAGAAAAACGCCATAATAGCTAGGAAAACATATCAGCTAGATGAAACTAGTTTAACTTGGATGCAGACTAGCTAAAATAATCTGATTCTTAACTCAACCCTCTCAATTTATTGAATACTGTGGAATAGACTTGAGATCACAATAACGAAAATGGGATGAAAATAAACATAAATAAGTAGGCCAAGGAAATTTTTTATGTAATGATAAAAAAACGTGAAAATGAAACTTTCCATAAATAACCGCCACTTAAATTACAAAAAATAGTAAAGCAAAAATTACGTGAATCCGCAAAGTTTCACAATTTAAACACAAAATATTGCCAAAATTTTTTTTTGAAAAATCAGGAAAATCTTGGCGTTTTTCAACTCACTCCCAGCCATGATTTATTTATGTCTGATAAGTTTTTTTCGGTTTTTGTTTTTAAATTAAATTTTGATTTATTTTTAGAAAAAGCTTTATTTAATTCAAATTTTTATAAATTTTAATAAATATAAATTTAATTAAAATTTAATAAAATATAATAATTTAATCATCATTTCCACTTAGCATCATGACATTGATAATTTTTCCTTTTAATTTAGATTTTTGAAGATCGTAAAATTTGTATATATTTTTATAATTTAGTTTATATAAAATCATTTTAAAATTTTTTAAATAAAAAATGGGAATCTTAAAATTAATTACACTCTGTCTAATGTGGCTTTTCACATGTCACATTGTGACTTTTCCCCACTTACAATCATTATTATTCAGCACTTACCATAATTTGCACTTTAATTTAAATTTAGTAAATCGTAAATTTTGTATATATTTTTATAAAAAAGTTTATATAAAATTATTTTAAAATTTTATTTTAAAAATTTTTTAAGAACAATGGGAATTTTAAAATTAATTACACTCAGACTAATGACTCTGACCCAGAATATCGCACCCAAAATATAGCCACTCTAAATATTGCGCCCAAAATATCGATGACTCTAAATATCGTCACCTAAAATGACGATTACCCAAAATATCGATTTTTAAACTTCATAATTATGTATTTCAAGGACGGGGAAGTCTTTTCAACATAGGGAAATTGCTCCAACAATAGAGCAAACATCAATCTGATAAATATGTCCAATCAAAGAGATCTATCTCCAAGGGGAATCTTGATCGGTCGCTATTGATCGTTATGGTCAGATCGGTTGCTAAGGTGGAACCGACAAAGATCTGGAACCAAACCGTGGAACCGGTAAAGGTCTTAAACCGGTTTAGAACCGATTGAAGAACCGGTTCCAAATATATATTACCAATGATGGGTGAAATAAAGAAGTGAGCAAAAAAGGGAAAGCGTGAGAGCAAAAGGAAGAGAAAATTGAAACGGATTAAAATTTTTTTCGCTGCAGCGCAAAAAAGGAAAATTTTTGGAAAAAAAAATATTTTTTATAAATTTTCGCCTGTGGTGCTGAAAATTGGAAAAAATCTAGCTTCTGTCATTACAAAATTTTCAAAATTTTCGTCTGCGGCGCTAATTAAATAATTCCTGTTCTAATTAACAATATCCTACTTTGGCTCAGGATCTGCAACCAGAATTTGATTAGTATTAGAGTTGGAAAAAACAAAATGCCGAAACGGGAAATTTATCTCTTTATCTCTCTTAATCCCTCGAACCTGCTTTATGCTCAAGAATCTTTTTATCATTCCTTATGTCACTCCTTAATCAATTCGAAGGCTTTTAATCGGAGGAGAGAAATTACTAAATGCAAAATTAGCGATACATTTTAACAGTTAATTACATTATTAATATTGATAATTCACTAATTATTTGTGAGAAAAATAAATTTTTATCATTAAAATAGCTAAAAAAAATTTTGTCACTGGAACCGGTTTCAGAACCGGTTCCTGAACCGGTTCCAGCCAGAATTAAAAAAGCGGTTCCAAAACCTGGAACGCCAAAGTTGAATAAGTGGTTCATGAACCACTGATAATGATGTCTTTTACCGTTTTTGTGTTTTTTAAATTAAATTTTGATTTATTTTTGCAAAAAGTTTATTAATTATGATTTTTATAAAATTTATTAAATATAAAATATAATAATTAAATCATGCCTTAGCACTTACCATCATGGCATTGAAAATTTTCCTCTAAATTTAAATTTAGTAAAACGTACATTTTGTACATATATAATTTTATAAAGAAGTTTATATAAAATCATTTTAAAATTTTATTTTAAAAATTTTTGAAGAACAATGGGAATTTTAAAATTAATTACACTCTGCCTAATGTGACTTTTAATGTGTAGCCAATCACAATTAAAAATTTCGTTATCACTACAATCCTTCCTTACCCTTACAAATTAGCCCGCCCCTGCTAGCTCCCTCCCATTAAATTTCTTCCTATTTATATTCGTTGCTATTCCCCAGATTTTATTATTTTTTAAATTTAAATTTATTATTTGCCCACTCATGAATAATTTTTGAATTACTCCTTAATTTTTTTCAATATTAAAGCTAAAGTTCGACAATAGGCAGGTACAGGCTCTAACACCTTTTCCAGTAAAAATTCACCTTGTTTTTATGATAAATTATTCTTTCTTTTAGTTTGCTTTATTAATTAACATTAAGTTTGTAAAGCAGAGCTGGTCTGTAGCTATTGCTCTCCTTTAGTGCAAGAGGATAAACGGCTTCCAACTTTTATTGAATAGAAACTAAGTCGTAACCAACCGTGTATTTCTTATTTATTCAATTCTTTAAAGCATTCCAGATTGCCACTTCATAACAAAATTTTGCCCAACTCGTTCAACATCGAAAACTATTTATTCGACACTTACTTTAAGATTTTACTTTATACTAGTAGGAAAGATCTTACCGGCTACCCTGGACTGTTCTAGACACTCAGTTTTGGTTGATTTATATTTCTAGGAGTTGATTTTTGGTCTGCTAAGCTTTAGAAGGTAAAATTTTGGTGTACAAGTCCCCTGAAAGTTTCATTTTTCTTTTTTATAATTAAGTAGTAACTTATTTTTCACTTAAAGATTTTTTAATAATTTATTAAAGGGCAATTATATGCCTCTCTCCTATATAATATTGCCAACTCTTCTCAATAGCAGTTTCAAAATTTCGATTTTGTAAATTGTTTCTTTCGATTTACGTTTAGAACTTTTTTGGTGTTTTCTCTATTTGAAATTTTTAAAACATTTGTTTTTGTTTAAATTCTGGTTTCTTGGTTTTCTGAAATTCAAAAAACTTTCGTTTTTACGAAAAAGAGTATTTTGACGTTTTTGTTTATTATTTTGACGCTTATCATTTTATTTAATTATTAAAATGGATTTTTGTCTTCCAAGCAAAAAAGTTTTAGGATCTACATACTATTAGCTACGAAAAGTAAATTCTTTATTTAAATGTAATAAAATTTTTTATAGTCTACCAATTACAAAAGCCAAAATGGTCCAGTAACATTTTCTGAATTAATTCAGTCCGGAAGTCTGACTCCGTGGACTAATTTTAAATATTAAGTAAAATTTTATTAAAGAATCAGCAGCCACTTAGTAACTAAAAATTCTGATGATTAAAAGAAATAAATAATTCATATTTGACTGACCAAGAGTGATTTGGGCTGATAATTTATTCAAAATATTTACTAACCCCCACCTCGTTTTTCGGTTTTTTACCTATTAGCATTCATTTACAGAAAATTATTACACTAAAAAGCATCATTCATGTATAATATTATTTTTTAAGTTCGAAGAAATAAAGATAGTAGTAAATATGTACCAGGGATAATTCCTCTTGATTGTCTGAAAATCTGGAATTCATCAAGTTTATTTGTATGGGAATTATTTCATTTGTCGGTAAGATCCTTGGAATATATGTACTTAAATGAATAATCGGGCTAACATAAGGCGAACACATTGAAATAGAAACCAAATCTCAGATATTCTTCGTGAATTTTTGATATAAATTATTCGAGTAAACTTATTGCTTGAAGCAACAACAATAATGTGATTTGGACAAGTTTAAATATTGCTTGAAATTCACATGTTAAAAAAATTAATTTTAATTTTTTAAATTCTGTCAAGCGAATTATTTTTACATGTGTTGCTCCAAATTCTATAAAAGAAAAATTTTAAAAAATATCAGTATCACCGTAAAACTTTGATTTATTCCTCTATAAACACTCGGTTGTGCTTGATTATTGTTAAGTGGTTGAATTGTTATCTGTTATAATTCGAACTAAAAATCTTAAAATACTAAATATTTAAAACAGGAAAACACGAGTCTCCTGAAAGTTTTATTTATTTTCTATTATTATTTATTAACTTTTATTTTTCTCTATAAAAAATTTTGAAATAATTTATTAAGGTAAGCCAAGGCCTCTTGGCATTCCCACCTCCTCTCCTCTCTTAGCATCTCTAACCTCTCATGCCCTCTCTCCTATATAATATTGCCAACTATCCTATCATTCCTTCTCAAGAGAAGGTTCGAAATTTCGATTTTGAAGAATTGTTACTTTCGATTTTCGTTTAGACCTTGTTGGTGTTGTTTAATTTAGAATTTTTAAACATTTGACCCTGTGACGCTAAAAGGAGGAATTCTGGTTCCTTGGCTTTCTGAAATTTAAAAAACTTTCCCTTGTTACGCAAAAAGAGAATTTTGAAGTTTTTGTTTATTAGTTTAACGTATATCCTTTTGGTAATAGTTTGGAATTGCCCCCCTTTTTTTCATTTCCATTTTTTCTAAATTTTTTTTCATTTTATGGCAAATTATATATCATTCGAAAGAGCTCTTCAAGTTGAGTCGAATGACGTTAAAATCAACGAAATCTGACTTAAGTGAACAAAGTTGTGACCGTTTATTTTATCCCCTTGCATTGACACAAAAAGTTTGCCCAAACTAGGATTTGGCTTCATAATTTTGGTAAGATTGATCAGATATGGCCAATCATGGTATCATTCGACCACGCTCGAAGAGCGTGGTCGAATGATATATGATAAATTATGTATCAAACAAAAAACTCAAAATGGTCAGGGAAACAGTGAAAAAAAGGGGGGAGGGCGAATTCCAAACTATTACCATCCTTTTATTTAATTATGGCTTCCATTAATATGGATTTATGTCTACCAAGCAAAAAAGATTTAATTTGTTGTGCTACGGAAAGTAAATTCTTTATTTAAATTAGTTAGAATAATTAGCTTTTGGCTGAGGAACAACGTTGAATTCCGAAATCGAGCTATTCGTAAAAAATATTAAAATTCGAATATTCGAATCATCAGACCACTTTCACCAATAAAAAATTCCTTTCTCTATCTAATTTAGCTCTCTCCTCTTTATAATTTTTACTAAACACTCTAAATTTTAAAATTGTTTACCTTTTATTACATGTGTCACTTCCCTCAGCCAATCACCAATTAAAAAAATATTTTTTATCTCGCCTTAGCTCCCACCCTTTAAAATTATTGCTATTTATAAAACTTGCTATTCTCCAGTTTTTATTTCATTTAATAAACTTAAGTTAATTAATTACCAATAAAGGGTCAATTTAATAGACTTATTTCTCAAATGCCATTATTCTTTTTATTAAAACTGCTTCAAATTTAATACTAAAACTACTTATATGTTAATGTGTTTTAATTAGGATACCAGTTTTTTAATCATGGATAAGCGGGATTTACGGGATCCGTCCGGAATCCCGGGTTTTTAGCGATAAACGGGAACCCCGGGATTTACAGGATTAATCTAGCGGGATCCTTTCCCGTTAAAAATTTTTAAACTCAATCCCGTTCCGTGATCCCGTGAATTTTTCTTCAATTTACGGGATTTATAATTAGAGTACATCGAGTACCGAGTATATCCTTATATCCCCTAGCTATATCTTTAGATCCCGTCCGTAGAGTCGAAATATTAAGATCCGTCCGTAGAGTCGTCCTTAGATCCGTCCGTAGAGTCGAAAAAGTCGAGTCGAAATATTAAAATTTGCTTTCTCCTTTTTGTCTAAAGCTTTAAATCAATTTTTAATTTAAAAATGAAGCCTAGTGAATTTTGCGGCCATTGAATTATCCCTTATAAAAATCGTTTCCGTAAGCAATATACAGTCATCGACATAAAGATAGGGGCAAGAGTAACTGAAATGGAAATTAACCATTTTCTCAGTTAAAAATTCATTTTAGGAAAATTTTTTTATTTTATTGGATACTCCATTTAATTCTCTATTTAATGAGTATAAATTTTGCCGGATTAATACTTTATACTACAGAGCCCTAACCGAAATAAAAAAGTATGGCTAATTTTCGCGCGACAAAAAGATAGGGGCAAGTCTCATAACTAAAAATTCACCCGGACAAAAAATCTATAAAAATTCATACAATCATATTGACCGATAATAAGAGGAAATAAAAAAGAACTAGGCCCATAACTCATTTCAATGTCGAGATCTCGATACCCCAAAAATCAACGTAAAACAGAGGTAAGCAACTTTAAAAAAATTTTTCGACCCCTTGTGGATTGTTTTAAATTTTTATTTTAGGCTCATTCGATAGCCCTTAAAATTTAAGATAAACTTGCTGAATTTCATTTTTCAGAAAAAAATATTTCGTTGGTTGCAGAGGCGAATGTTACGAAAAGCAACAAACACCTCATAAATTACCTCTTAAATGGCGTTTCTGAGAAACAACGGTCTTTATCTTGGGAGGGAAATTTTCCTGAGAAATAAAATTTGGCCAGCTTATAGCAAATTTTAAGGGCTATCGAATGAGCCTAAAATAAAAATTTAAAACAATCCACAAGGGGTCGAAAAATTTTTTTAAAGTTGCTTACCTCTGTTTTACGTTGATTTTTGGGGTATCGAGATCTCGACATTGAAATGAGTTATGGGCCTAGTTCTTTTTTATTTCCTCTTATTATCGGTCAATATGATTGTATGAATTTTTATAGATTTTTTGTCCGGGTGAATTTTTAGTTATGAGACTTGCCCCTATCTTTTTGTCGCGCGAAAATTAGCCATACTTTTTTATTTCGGTTAGGGCTCTGTAGTATAAAATATTAATCCGGCAAAATTTATACTCATTAAATAGAGAATTAAATGTAGTATCCAATAAAATAAAAAAATTTTCCTAAAATGAATTTTTAACTGAGAAAATGGTTAATTTCCATTTCAGTTACTCTTGCCCCTATCTTTATGTCGATGACTGTATATACATTCAAATTAATTTTTATTTTTGTATTATTGTAATTTTAATATTTTATTAATCAAATTTAAAACGAAACAACGAAAATCATATTTAGCAGATATCCGAAATCTTTATATTTATCCAAAATATATCCAATATATATCCAAATATCCCCAATTTTCTCCGTTTTTAACCGCAATTTTTTCTTCATCTCATTATTTCTTGACTTTAAAATTACAAATTATGTCATATTAAATTTACTAAATTATATACTATTTTACTGAAAATCTAAAAATAATACAAATATATAAAAAATTTTAGATGAAATTAACAATCTTTGTGTCTTCTTTTTTGATTCTTTTAAATTTCTCCGTTTTGCTGGAAGTCAGTGGTGGGAAGGGAAAGGAAAAAGTAGAGTCGACGAGCGAGACTGGACAAAATACTTCTAGTAAACCTAAAAGAGGTATAGTTAATATGAATTAAACAAAAGCTTAACTTCAGAATTGAAGCTAGGTACTCTATTAATTTGTTGAATTTTAGATTATTAAATTAAATTTTTTGTAGATTTTTAATACTGAATTTTTAATACTGATAATTAAGGCCCGGATTTTTAGATTGTAAAAACTTCAAAAAGATACTATTCACCCTTCATTAGACTGAGCTCGTCGAGCTGAGCTGAATGACAAAAATTTTCAAAAAGCATAAGAGCACTAATCCATAATGTGAAAAATTTTCTTACACTTTCAAAAAATAAATGACTATTATTTTATATTTTAGGCGAATCATCAAATGATCAATTTGAAGAACATGGTGGTTTATATTTCTGTAAAACTTGTCAAGGTCATGGCATTATAAAATCGAGTACTCGTAGACATCTTGCTTCTAAAGACCACACAGATAAACAGAATATGTTGATGGGAATTCAACGTAATATATTTATAATATTAGAAAATTTTAAGATTAATATGTACCTTTGTCTCACAATTAAATTGCCTCATAATAAGGGCTCACAAAACATGCAAATGCATGTTTGTATGCGGATATGCCTTGAGGTGAGAAGCCACATTTTGTCAAATTCGACTGGACCAATACCTGGTTATAACCTAAAAATCCGCAATCAATTTTTATTAATAAATATTAATAAATTGTAAAATTTATTTATAATTCTTTCATCCACTTAGCAACTTAGATCTGTGATGATTAGATAAAGGAAGGAATTAAAGCAATTTTTTGCCTATTTCGGCCCTTCCGTGCATATTTGCATATCGGTGCATATTTTGACAAATATTGCATATGTATTTCCGTGTATATTTTGGGCTTTTTCGGTCCATAAATGTGCATCGTTCCGCTCGACATGTCCGGCTTCCGCCTGTGCAACTTTCTTCTGCGGCGTCCTCGTGTGTGTTAAAAAAATATCAGTAATAACTTTGTTAATAAAGTTAGATTTCATTGAATCCTTGTCATACTATTAAGCTCAACGAGGACTTGTGAATGAGCGGAAATTTACATAAACGAATTTTGATAACAAAAATTAGCTTGCTAATTCGTATTGAGTCTTTGATATTTAGTATTTTTGCTTCCAAACCCTTGGCCTGAGTTTGCCGCGGTACGGAGTTTTTCAATTCATTTTGGGCCTTCTTTTTATCGAAACAGACCGATCGAGTCTTTTTCGGGACAAAAGGTGCTCCTCTTTGAATCGAGGATTCATTCGAATGGGCTATCAATCAAAAATTCGAATTTGTTAGAACAAAATTGGCTTACTACCCTTATGGTTTTTCGATATTCGGAGGCCTGCCACTCGGCTCTAGAAAGTCAGTTGCGTTTATTTTGGCGTATTCGACTCAGCTCGACGAGCTTGTTCATATGAAAAATCGAATCAATAGTAAAATCGAATTTTTCATCCCATAATGGATTACACGCACCCATCCCCCTTTGTTTTTCGATTTTCGGAGGCCTGAAAATTTTGGCTTTTTTCGGATTTTTTAAAACTTTTGCACCTAAATAGGATCTATTTCAAGATTTTTTGGATTTAAATTGGCACGCTCTAGTTATGATCAACAGAATCATCGCTGGAAAAAGTTTTTGAGCTACTTCTGAGGGAGTAGGTCGAGCTTCACTTCTGAAAATCGGTAAAAGGAATAGGTTTATGTTTTTGACGTAGAGCTTGTTATATATTTTACAAGGTCCATATTTGTCAAAACTCTGTCCAGTCAATTAACTCCAAAACCCAACAACTTTTGACTATTCACCCTCATTTGACTCAGATCTTCGAGTTAGGTGAATGACAAAAATTTTGAGAAAACCAAAAGTAAAACACTAGTCCGTATCGTAAAAATTTTTGTTACATTTCTATTTTATATTTTAGACGAATCATCCAAAATTATTGATCAATTTGAAGAACATGGTGGTTTATATTTCTGTAAAACCTGTCAAGACGGTAATGGCATTATAAAATCGAGTACTCGTAGACATCTTGCTTCTAAAGACCACACAGATAAACAGAATATGTTGATGGGAATTCAACGTAATATATTTATAATATTAGAAAATTTTAAGATTAATATGTACCTTTGTCTCACAATTAAATTGCCTCATAATAAGGGCTCACAAAACATGCAAATGCATGTTTGTATGCGGATATGCCTTGAGGTGAGAAGCCACATTTTGTCAAATTCGACTGGACCAATACCTGGTTATAACCTAAAAATCCGCAATCAATTTTTATTAATAAATATTAATAAATTGTAAAATTTATTTATAATACTTTCATCCACTTAGCAACTTAGATCTGTGATGATTAGATAAAGGAAGGAAAATTTTCCCAATAGAAAAACATGCGCTTCTATTTAAAACCTCCTCGTAGACTGCGCTTCTATTGGGACGTGCGCTTCAAATAGGACGAGCGCTTGTATTTTTGGATTTTTTCCCTATATTTAAAATCCTAGATTATTTTCTAATTAATTTTTACACTTTTTATAAAAAGTGTAAATTCTTAACTTAAATGTAAATGAATAATATTTGTTTAAACTATGTATGTAACAGAGTAATTGCTCAAATAAGTATTTCATAGGGTGTGCTTATAATAGGACGTGCGCTTCTAATGGGACCTGCGCTTGAATTTTTCAACCTCCTCTTAGAGGCGCTTCTAATGTATGCGGAAATGGCTTGATGAAAGAAGCCCAAAAATAGTGTTTTCCAATGGTCCGAGCAGTCTTATATTTTACAAATCATGCATTTCTGTGCTGCTTCGGATGGAGTAGGTGGAGTTTTCGGATGGAGTATGTTGCTGATCTAGAACCCAGCGGCAGTTGTCTTCTGTCGTTAAATCAGCACAAAAAGTCATTCAAATGAGCTATAATATGCATATATGACATTTCATCTCCAATCATCAGTTAGACTTCTGTGCTTTCTAGCCATTTTAAGCACTATGTCTTGGTCACTGATTTACGGACGTACATTATTCACCCTCATTAGACTCAGCTCGTCGAGCTGAGTTGAATGACAAAATTTTCAAAGAGCCATATGCAGAACACTAGCCCACATAATGACGAATTTTGTTACATTTTTAAATAAATAAATGTCAATTATTTTATATTCTAGACGAATCATCCAAAGTCATTGATCAATTTGAAGAACGTGGTGGTTTCTATTACTGTAAAACTTGCCAAGATGGCCAGAGCATTATAAAATCGAGTATATATAGACACCTTGCTTCTAAAACCCACAAAAATAAACAGAATGATGCGATGTGAATTCAACGTAATATATTTTTAATATTAGAAATTTTTAAGATCAATACTCTTGTGTTTTAGTTTTAAATTACTCATAATTAAATCTTCCAAAATCCTCAAAGTTTTCGCCTGCTGTAATAGGAAAAGAAGAAATCTTGTGACTTGGCCTTCCAAAATCTTCAGGCCTATCTAGGAAAAAACAGGCATTTATCTAAAAATCCTGGCCCTATTAATAATTTGTGCCGAAAGCTAGATAGCCAACAGGACATCTACCCAAAAGTTGAATTGTTGGAAGGCCAAGTCACCAGATTTTGAAAGGCCAAGTTACCTGATTTCTTTTTTCAACACCGCAGGCAAGAATCACGTAAATTTCGGAAGGCGAAATGAGAAATGTCAAGTTTTGGAAGGCCAAATCCCCAGATATCCAATCCATGATATATACCTTACACCACTCAATCCCTCGATATCATACCCAAATCTCTTGATATTATAGTAGCAATGACTCCCTTGAAATGACACGATATAACTCAAACTCCACCTTAATCCCTAAAAATTAGCAGCCGAAAATTTTAAGAATTTTGGAAAGCCAAGAATCCAGAATTCTTCTTCACCATCGCCGCAGGCAAAATTTTTTGACTTGAGGGCAACAAGAAAGATTTCTTCATATTTTCTGCGCCGCGTTTTCACGTTTTGAGCCACTAATTCTAAGAAAAAGTTAAACACATTAAACTCTGTTTAGAAGAACCGTATACCATTTATGCTGTTTATCTGAGACTCGTATAATGTTCCGTTTAATTTTACCGAAATCCCGTTTACCGTACACCGTTTACCGTTTAGTTAAACGGGTTTGTGCAACCCTAGCGCATATTATGCATTTTTTACAGCATAAAAATTCAGTCCCGACCTATAACATAAAATTTCAAAACTACGTTGTAACATTCCTATGCTCGAATTTTATTTTTATATATTTACTGCAGTGCAATTTGAATATAGAAATATTAAATTTTAAAAATTATTTTAAGCCTCAACAGCCACCTAGAAACTGAAACTTTGATGATTGGATTAAAAAGGGATCCTTGATTTACTGATCAAAAGTGATTTGGATTGATTATTTATTCGTAGTTTTTTCTGGTCCCTCCACTTATTGGAGTGGATTTTTATTCGGTATTTGTAACGCAACCATCTTTTCTGTTCTCTCTATAAAAAATTTTGAAAGTCTTACACCCAGGGACAAACTGTTAGACACTTGCTAAAATTCTTTATCGTACTGGGGATCGAAGGGTAGTTTATCAAATAAAGTATATCAACAATAGCGACTATTTTAAAAAGTACTTCTTTTAATTTGGAATTGTGCAAGTGTCATGCTCTTCTTTACAATCACTATGTATTTTTCATAGTTAAAATTCAAACCCTGTCCTGGCAGAACTCGAACATACTAACAACAAACAAATCACAAAAGACAACCCCCAAACCAATCTAAAATACAGATTTTTGTTTGAACGAGTTTGTCTGGACCGCTTTTGGAAAACCGGTTTTTGACCCACATCTTTGTTATTTATTCTTTATTAGTATAGAAAAAAGACTGGAGCTCTATTAGAGAATGGGGCTTTATTTGGAAAAACACGGTAATTTAGATGTAGTACGACCAGATGCTCACTAATTCTCTTGTTTATATTGAGTTGATATTTATTTAAAAATGTTATTTGGGATCTTCAAATTATTATTATAGATCACAGATTTCTAAAAATTTTCAGAATTTTTTTAAAATAAACAAGAAACTAGAAGAGCCGGTCATTAGAAACTTTATTAGTTATGTGCATATTATTCTTTAAGTAAATGTTAGTTTTCCTTACTCTTTTCTTGACGAACATTGTGATTTTTTAAGTTATTTTAGCATAAAACATTTAGCAATTTTTCGGTTGATTTTTAAATTTAAAGTTTTAAATAAGAACATAATAGAAAATTGAGGAACGATTGTCGATAAAAACATGCATCTAATAGCCAAACCTGTAACCGACCCATACGAGATCTCTAATAAAAACCTTGGCAGTCGAGATGAATAATTTTTCGAAATATAATCTCGACTCTCGCACAAAAGTTGATAAAACTATTAACAGGTGAGGAGGGAATACAACAAGTCCGATGAATACAAAAATTCTTTTCAGTCTAAATTAAACTTGAATTTCTGTTATGAGACCAAAGCCTTATAAATACTATTAAAAATAATTTATATTTTCATTTATATTTTAAATTTTAATATTTATATTAGTGAATTTATTTATTATAATAAAATTCCAGCAATTAATGTATAAAGTAATAAAACCGCTGGTTTTGCACAAGCGCCTCGCCTACGCTCCTTTGGTTTAGCAAATCCTATTCATTCTTAATGTATTATTTAATAAATGCATTACTTAATAAAATCTAATAAAATTTGATTGGACTCATAAATTCCTATGGACTCATAAACTTTTCATTGGACTCATAATGTTCGATTGGACTCATAAAGTCAAGTAGAACCAATTTTCCATGTAGAATTCATTAATTATCCTTCAATCCCCAAAATTTTTAAGTTGAAATAATATTCCATATTGAATACAAATTGAGACATTTTATTTCAATAAAAACTTATCATAAATTTTTATAAATTAATCAAATTCATTAATAGCTTAATGGAATTAAAAATTCGATTGAACATGCCCTAGCTGTACTGGAACAGGTTATATTTAAAATTTAACATAAAATTTAAAAAAATATAAATGGATTTGCCAGAAACATAAACTTCAGTGGGTTAAATATCTTCCAGAGATAAATGACTTTAAAAATTAAAAAAAGATGACCCCAAAAGCGTCCCCAATTGTTGACGGGTCCCTGAAAGTCTGATCCATAAACTGGCTTGATTACGCATAAAAATTACAGTTTCCTCTTGTTTTGAAAACTCAAAGAGATCCAAAGTCACTTGATAATCTTTATAATGCATAATTTTATATTCAGGATTTTGCTGCATAATAAATATTTTCAAGTTTTTGGGGAAAATAACACAAAAATTGCCCAAAATCCTGTATAAATTGTATTTGAACTTCTTCTATACTAATTCGAACTTCTCTTAAAATTAGTAAATATTCTTAAAAAAACTAAATTTTAACATTCCTATCCTCAAATTTAAATATAGAAATATTTATTAAATTTAAAAATCTGTTTTAAGGCTCAACAGCCACCTCAGCAGCCACCTAGTAACTAAACTTTGATGATTGGATGAAAAAAGGATCCTTGATTTAATGATCAAAAGTGATTTGGATTGATATTTATTCGTAGTTTTTTCTGGTCCCTCCACTTATTGGAGAATTTTTATTCGGTATTTGTAAAGCAATCCTCCTTTTCTGTCCTCTCTATAAAAAATTTTGAGTCTTCTTCCCGAGCCAAACTGCTCGACACTTGCTACAATCCTTTATCGTACGGGAGATCGAAGGGTAGTTTATCAAAAAGTATATCAACAATAGCGACTATTTTAAAATTTACTTCTTTTAATTTGGAATCGTGCAAGTGTCATGCTCTTCTTTACAATCACTATGTATTTTTCATAGTTAAAATTCAAACCCTGTCCTGGCAGAACTCGAACATACTATCGACTAACAAATCACAAAAGACAAACCCCAAACCAATCTAAAATACAGATTTTGTTTGAACGAGTTTGTCTGGACCGCTTTTGGAAAACCGGTTTTTGACCCACATCTTTGTTATTTATTCTTTATTATTTATTCGTAAAAAAGACTGTAGCTCTATTAGAGAATTGGGCTTTATTTGGAAAAACACGGTAATTTAGATGTAGTACGACCAGATGCTCACTAATTCTCTTGTTTATATTGAGTTGATATTCAGTTAAAAATGTTATTTGGGATCCTTCAAATTATTATTATAGATCACAGCGGTCTGAAAATTTTCAGAATCTTTTCAAAATAAACGAGAAATTAGAAGAGCCGGTCATTAGAATCCTTTATTAGTTATGTACATATTATTCTTTAAGTAAATGTTAGTTTTCCTTACTCTTTTCTTGACGAACATTGTGATTTTTTAAGTTATTTTAGTATAAAACATTTAGTTATTTTTCGGTTGACTTTTAAATTTAAAGTTTTAAATAAGAACATAATAGAAAATTGAGGAACGATTGTCGATAAAAACATGCATCTAATAGCCAAACCTGTAACCGACCCATACGAGATCTCTAATAAAAACCTTGGCAGTCGAGATGAATAATTTTTCGAAATATAATCTCGACTCTCGCACAAAAGTTGATAAAACTATTAACAGGTGAGGAGGGAATACAACAAGTCCGATGAATACAAAAATTCTTTTCAGTCTAAATTAAACTTGAATTTCTGTTATGAGACCAAAGCCTTATAAATACTATTAAAAATAATTTATATTTTCATTTATATTTTAAATTTTAATATTTATATTAGTGAATTTATTTATTATAATAAAATTCCAGCAATTAATGTATAAAGTAATAAAATAAAAACAAAATTTCCAAAAGATACTAATTTAGAAATTCCACCATTACCAATGCTATTTATTTTTTGTGTACTTTTAACTTCTGGATTAATTTGTGTTGTAGATACTTGTTTAGTTCTAGTTGTCAATTGAGGAAAAGCTATTGAATTATTAATTAATAAAATAAATTTCTTAAAATTTCATCACTTATTTAATTGTCAAGAAGTTTATTTATGTATTCCAACAAATAAAAACTTAAGAGCAAAATTCAAAAGAATCTTAGAACTCGTATTTCCCTAATTTATTATTAAAGTTTGAAATTTGAAATTTCCAATTTTTTCTATCCGGACCGGATTTTCCGGATCGAAATCTAAAACCGGAAAACAAGATCCGGAAAATCCAGATCCGGTCAGGGTTCGGACTATATTTATTATCCTACATACCGTATTTTCTCTAAAATAGCCCCCGGGGGTTATTTTTTTCAATCGACCTCTAGAGGGGGCTATTTATTGGGGGGGGGAGTTATTTTTAAGGGGGGGGGTTATTTTAGAGGAAGGTGGTTATTTAGAGAAAATACGGTGTATCAATTAATTACATTCTTCTTAATAATCAAATTATATGTCGACCCTCTATCATAGAATCGCCTCAGCTCAGTTACCTAAAATTATATTGAAAGTATAAAACAATAATTACCTAGAGTAATTATTAGTGCCTTCTATCTAAAATAACTTTTAAATTTAGAGACAATATTGACATGAAATTTGGTCTAGTTTTAGTTCTGTTATTCGATACAAAATTTTAAAGATTAATTTATTACCCTTTGTTGTTTTGGTCTGTTTAATTGTAATAGCCTTTTTGGTAGTAGTAATTGCAGTTGTGGTTGTTGTAATTGGATATTTTGTTTTTAAAATAGGTTTTTTATTTGGGCTTTGATTAGGTTCAATTTTAAATCCTTCTTGAGCTTTTGTCCCGTGACCTTCACATTTTTTAAAATCTTTATTACAATCATCCTTATAACAAATACAACATTTTGTACATTCAAATTCGGTTTTCATCATTCGACAAAAATTTGTTTCGGTTATAGTATATGGAATATTTTTACTTTGCTGCCTTTTATGAACATTAATTATAAAGTCGTCGCTGAGACAGTTATAATAAGCTAAAAATAATTTTAGAAATTATTTGTTAATAATCAGATTTTATAAGAAATAGCTACAATAGCTAATCATATTTTCTATTGTCTCTTTGAAGTGGAAAAATATAGTAAATCGGTGGGCTATAGCTATTTTGTAATGTCAGCGATTACAAAAAATATATTTAAATTTAATAGACATTATTTATATTACTATTTTTTGCTTTTTTCATCACATTCAAATTTTCCCTTTTTTACCACTCATCAATTTATTATCTTTTTATATTAATTTCCCATATTTCGAATTTCCTTTTATATATTCGAATACCCGACACATTGACCTTTTCCTTATCATCACTTTACTTTGTACTTTTCCACACTTTTTTACCTGTATATAAACCCAAACTTATTCCCTTATTTTGGAAATAAGTTTGGCTTTTCCTAGCCACTTACCCCATTGACCATTTGCTTGTATATATTTAGAATATCAATATTTATATTATTCAAATGGGCTTTTCCTTAGTTTATCTAAGAGCTGGACTTTTAGGGCTTATTGATATCCTCAGTAAATCGGATACAATTAAATAATACAATTAAATATTTAGTATTAATAATAAAAGCTCAGACATAACATTTCTCTCCTTTAGTTATTGAATAAGGTTTATCGTCGGCTGTGAGCGAACCAGCATCTCTAGTAGACCGGAATGATGTGTTAGCCATTACACCACGCCGTCTAGTGCAGCCTAGGTATTAAATAGCTATATGCTTTACAATATTAATCATTTGCGTTTATATTAGAGACTAATCTTATTATTTTATTGGCACAAAATTTTGTATTTTTATGAAATATTAACTTTTATTTAGTCCATTGTGAAACTCTTTACAAACAAATGCCAACATACAATTGCCAGTATTTGCAGTTACTTTATTACATTCGACTTTTTGAAATCCTACATCCCAGTCGATAGTTACACCCACCAAATTGTCATCATGAGTTTTTGGATTTGCGTAACAATTTATTGCTAAATTATTTACCATCGGTTTTCGGTTTCGTTTCGATTAACCAACCGCCAACACCCCTAGTTGTAACAGTCTTAAAATAGTTTCAAGTGAAAATAAGTCCCAGTTAACTAGGAAATACAAAATAGCTAGTGAAAAACGCTATAATAGCTAGGAAAACATATCAGCTAGATGAAACTAGTTTAACTTGGATGCAGACTAGCTAAAATAATTAGACTTTTTCTCAACCCTATCAATTTCTTGAATACTGTGAAATAGACTTGAGATCACAATAACGAAAATGGGTTGAAAATAAACATAAATAAGTAGGCCAAGGAAATTTTTTAAGTAATGATCAAAAATCATGAAAATGAAACTTTCCATAAATAACCGCCATTTAAATTACAGAAAATAGTAAAGCAAAAATTACGTGAATCCGCAAAGTTTTACAATTTAACCACAAAATATTGCCAAAAATTTTTTTTGAAAAATCAGGAAAAATCTGGTCGTTTTTCAACTCACCCCCAGCCATGATTTATTTATGTCTGATAAGTTTTTTTCGGTTTTTGTTTTTAAATTAAATTTTGATTTATTTTTAGAAAAAGCTTTATTTAATTCAAATTTTTATAAATTTTAATAAATATAAATTTAATTAAAATTTAATAAAATATAATAATTTAATTATGATTTCCACTTAGCATCATGACATTGATAATTTTTCCTTTTAATTTAGATTTTTGAAGATCGTACAATTTGTATATATTTTTATAATTTAGTTTATATAAAATCATTTTAAAATTTTTTAAATAAACAATGGGAATTTTAAAATTAATTACACTCTGTCTAATGTGACTTTTTACGTGTCACATTGTGACTTTCCCCACTTACAATCATTATTATTCAGCACTTACCATAATTTGCATTCTAATTTAAATTTAGTAAATCGTAAATTTTGTATATATTTTTATAAAAAAGTTTATATAAAATTATTTTAAAATTTTATTTTAAAAATTTTTGAGGAACAATGGGAATTTTAAAATTAATTACACTCAGACTAATGACTCTGACCCAGAATATCACACCCAAAATATAGCTCTCTAAATATTGCGCCAAAAATATCGATGACTCTAAATATCGTCACCTAAAATGACGATTACCCAAAATATCGATTTTTAAACTTCATAATTATGTATTTCAAGGACGGGGAAGTCGTTTCAACATAGGGAAATTGTTCCAACAATAGAACAAACATCAATCTGATAAATATGTCCAATCAAAGGGAGATGATCTATCTCCAAGGAGAATCGTGATCGGTCGCTATTGATCGTTATGGTCAGATCGGTCGCTATGGTCAGTCCCCGATGTTGAAACATCATCATAATTATGAACTAAAAAAATTTCGATATTTTGGGTAATACGTCATTTTTGGGTGCGATATTTTGGGTCACGATATTTAATAGCGATATTTTGGGTGTCGATATTCTGGTTGAAAAATCAAGAAATAGCTGGGAGGTTTTCAACTCACTCTCAGCCATATTTATCTATGTATAATGATCAGTGATGGAAAGGTTCCAGTTCCGGTTCCGGAACAGTTCGGCTCCGAAACCGGTTCCGGAAGTGGAACCGACAAAGATCTGGAACCAAACCATGGAACCGGTAAAGGAACCGGTTGAAGAACCGTTTCCAAATATAAACCCCTAATGATGGTGAAATAAAGAAGTGAGCAAAAAAGGGAAAGCGTGAGAGCAAAAGGAAGAGAAAATTGAAACGGATTAAAAATTTTTTCGCCTGGTGCGCAAAAAAGGAAGATTTTTGGAAAAAATAAATATTTATTTAAATTTTCGCCTGTGGTGCTGAAAATTGGAAAAAATCTAGCTTCTGGCCTTACAAAATTTTCAAAATTTTCGTCTGCGGCGCTAATTAAATAATTCCTGTTCTAAATACAATATCCTTCTTTGGCTCCGGATCTGCAACTAAAATTCGATTAGTATTGGAGCTTGAAAAAACAAAATGCCGAAACGGGAAATTTATCACTTTATCTCTCTTAATCTCTCGAACCTGCTTTATACTCACGAATCTTTTTATCATTCCTTATGTCACTCCTTAATCAATTCAGAAGGCTTTTTATCGGAATAGAGAAATTACTAAATGCAGTGTTAGTGATACATTTTAACAGTTAATTACATTATTAATATTGATAATTCACTCTTATTTATGACAAAAATAAATTTTCATCATTAAAATAGCTAAAAAAATTTTGTCACTGGAACCTGTTCCAGCCAAAATTAAAAAAGCGGTTCCAAAAGCGGGAACGCCAAAGTTAAATAAGTGGTTGAAGAACCAGAACCGGTTCTTGACTGATAATTATGTCTTTTATATTTTGTTTTTTTTAAATTAAATTCTGATTTATAGAAAGTTTATTAATTATGATTTTTATAAAATTTATTAAATATAAAATATAATAATTAAATCATGCCTTAGCACTTACCATCATGGCATTGAAAATTTTCCTCTAAATTTAAATTTAGTAAAACGTACATTTTGTACATATATAATTTTATAAAGAAGTTTATATAAAATCATTTTAAAATTTTATTTTAAAAATTTTTGAAGAACAATGGGAATTTTAAAATTAATTACACTCTGCCTAATGTGACTTTTAATGTGTAGCCAATCACAATTAAAAATTTCGTTATCACTACAATCCTTCCTTACCCTTACAAATTAGCCCGCCCCTGCTAGCTCCCTCCCATTAAATTTCTTCCTATTTATATTCGTTGCTATTCCCCAGATTTTATTATTTTTTAAATTTAAATTTATTATTTGCCCACTCATGAATAATTTTTGAATTACTCCTTAATTTTTTTCAATATTAAAGCTAAAGTTCGACAATAGGCAGGTACAGGCTCTAACACCTTTTCCAGTAAAAATTCACCTTGTTTTTATGATAAATTATTCTTTCTTTTAGTTTGCTTTATTAATTAACATTAAGTTTGTAAAGCAGAGCTGGTCTGTAGCTATTGCTCTCCTTTAGTGCAAGAGGATAAACGGCTTCCAACTTTTGTTGAATAGAAACTAAGTCGTAACCAACCGTGTATTTCTTATTTATTCAATTCTTTAAAGCATTCCAGATTGCCACTTTATAACAAAATTTTGCCCAACTCGTTCAACATCGAAAACTATTTATTCGACACTTACTTTAAGATTTTACTTTATACTAGTAGGAAAGATCTTACCGGCTACCCTGGACTGTTCTAAACACTCAGTTTTGGTTGATTTATATTTCTAGGAGTTGATTTTTGGTCTGCTAAGCTTTAGAAGGTAAAATTTTGGTGTACAAGTCCCCTGAAAGTTTTATTTAATTCTTTTTTATAATTAAGTAGTAACTTATTTTTCACTTAGATTTTTTTAATAATTTATTAAAGGGCAATTATATGTATGCCTCTCTCCTATATAATATTGCCAACTATCCTATTATTCTTCTCAATAGCAGTTTCGAAATTTCGATTTTGAAAATTGTTTCTTTCAATTTTCGTTTAAACCTTTTTTGGTGTTTTCTCTATTTGAAGTTTTTAAAACATTTATTTTTGTTTAAATTCTGGTTTCTTGGTTTTCTGAAATTCAAAAAACTTTCGTTTTTACGAAAAAGAGTATTTTGACGTTTTTGTTTATTAGTTTGACGCTTATCCTTTTATTTAATTATTAATATGGATTTATGTCTTCCAAGCAAAAAAGTATTAGGATCTACTATTAGCTACGAAAAGTAAATTCTTTATTTTAAAGTAATAAAATTTCTTACAGTCTAACAATTACAAAAGCCAAAATGGTCCAGTAACATTTTCTGAATTAATTCAGTCCGGAAGTCTGACTCCGTGGACTAATTTTAAATATTAAGTAAAATTTTATTAAAGAATCAGCAGCCACTTA